GGAAATCGAAATGGGTACTTCCCGAAAATAAGATTTTTTGTAACGAATTTTCAACCTAAAGAACTACTTCTATAGAATATATAACAGCACTAACAGACTTGTTAAAGTTCACAGAAATTCGTTTAGAGGTGTTTTGAACGACCAATATATGTGCATACATAGGTAAAAACCATTGTCACTGAAAATAATTTATACTCGTACTAGCCTACAGATATTATCTTGTAGTTTACATGTGAATGTATTGCATAAAGGAAGTTAAATATACTGTTAGAAAACTATTAAACTCACAAATTAAACTTAAAATAAAATAATACTTTATTACTAATAAATTAAAATTCATGTAAATATGAATCATTCAATAACGTTATATGTAATAACAGAAGAGAAACGCAATACTATCCTGTATAATACAAGATGGAAGTTCTACCCTCAACGGTTGTCCGCACTATAGCGAGTTACCGAGTGCTTTTTGACGCTCTGGATAATGGACTCACGATTACATTATTAAGACGAAGTATTATCCGTATAATCATGTACATATGTGTGCTCTGAGGGACCATTCAGAGAATTCGCTAAATAAATTAGCAAAGATTTAGTAGATACAAAACCATTGCAGAATAAATTGAGGTTATAGAAAAAACTACACACATTAGGGCAAAAGACATTATATGCTACAGAAGAATAAGAATTTGTTCTAAACATCTCATTTATACGAGTATATGTATTCGAGTATTCGGTTAACTAAATCTTGAGTTGATATTAAATGACAACGGGCATTTTAATACCAATCGCAAGATAGCTTATGGCTTTATATCTACATATACTATGAGTTACGACAGCGATTGCGATCTGCCAATTTCCTTTACTGCGTTCCAATGTATAGTTGTCCACTAGGCCGCGCAAACTCACGACTTTATCCCGAAATTCTGAATGTGATATTTAGTTTTGTAACCCAAACTTTCATGTTATTATTGAGTATATTTTCACTCATATGAAAAATAAGATACCATAATAGTAATTTGTAAAGTAAATTTTGGTGCTATTGTTATTGTTAATGGTTTTAGATAAAATTTAAAATACCGATTATAAATTATTTACGATCTGTATTATAAATTTTATCTTATATAGTTCATTACAACTATAAAATAAATTTTGTACTCAATGAAGTTACTAGGTATAACTCAATTTAAATACATATTTGGATATTAGTCCGTGGGAAACTTTCATTTTATTTAAATTCAATATGCATATTTGTATATGTACAGAAAAAAATTTAAGAATAAGTCATTATCGATAATCTTGGATTAAGAAATAAGATATGAATTAAGATTTGAGATCCCTCTCTAAAATATTATAGTATGTAGTTACTGAAACAGATTTTCGTATCTACCATTCGGTGAAGGTTGAGGTTAATGCATTTATTAATTATACATATTTTGCACCTATATATATAAAAATTTGATATTTAAAAAAAGTACACTGATATGCAAATAATGACTACTAATGATCAGATAAAATTTATTTTTGTTTTTAACTATTTGCGTTGTGGAAATCTTAAAAAGCCCTTTTGTGGCGAATTTCTACGTCACATAATATGAAAATTATATGCAATATTTATATTTCTAATATTTTGGTTTTAATATCTGAATTAATATTAAATGAAGCTATCAGTTACATTTTGAATAAAATATTTTTCCGACCAAAATAACGTTACATTTATTTAATCCCATTTTCTACTTTATAAATTCGTTTAGAATAACATTATTAATACATTTCCTTAATTTTGAGGTCTTTGTACTGATTATTTAAGTTCAATTTACAATACAATGGAAACCAAATACAAATTGATTCAACAAAAACCTGCGAAGTTTACCAATCGAAGGGAATATGAAAATGTGCTGTGTGAATTGACGAGAATATTAATTTAAAGTTTGCTTCGGCCTCCTTCTCGATGAAATATTATACGTAAAAAGCTATGCCGCAAGGGACAATGCCACAATGTGTTATTACAGACCGAGTTAATCCGCCTTTGTTATGAGTTCTGAAAAGGATTTATAGGGATTTTCTCTACTTTCATACTTTCGGCTCAATAGCGCGGTAAAGACAAATCAATACGGTGATGGGTAAGATCGTAAGGTTTTTTGGGCATTATTATTATTTGATGATAATAATAAAAGTAAGTGTATTATAATATACTTACTTTACTACTAATCTGGCCTCGGTGGTCGGGGGTTCGATTCCTCGCACGGCGCAAATGTCTGGGTGCTTTTTATGTAAAATATATATGTGTTTAGGAAGAAAAATAGATTTTACATAGATATTTGCATCAGTTATCTAGCACCTATAACACAAACTTTGGCTAGCTTAACTTAGGTCTAGATGGTGCTGTATGAATTGTCCTGAGATTATTATTATTATATAACCTTTGCTAGATGAATACAGCATATTTTAATTATAGTATAAAAATAAGTAAAAATAGCTGTATTTTGCTTTGCTTTAAAAGTGGTTTACATGATGTTATATGATTAATGGTGATCACACTCCTCACCAGAAGCTGGCATGCGAAATTTATTAATGTCGTAACCAGTCGCGGCGTGAATGAAGTGAAAAATAATTTTCACAATGTTTATAAACTTGTTAAATACATGGTTTGCTCTGTATTTTTAACAGATCCTTAGACCGGATATGTATGATCTTATATCTAAAATAATTACAAATATATTCAATATATTCAATAATTACATTTAAAAACTAAACCGGTAATAATTAATACAATTATTATTTGAATATATTTATATTTAATAGTAATAATAACTAACATAAATAATAATTAACAGCAAACGTTTTTAGGTTTTAACTTCAGATTTGATATAAAAACAAACTTCAACTTTCTTACAATATTTATTCTAACTTTTGGTTCGAATATAAATCATTTTGGATTTCAAAACCGTAGGGACATTTTGCCATTTGCGGAGCTAAAGTAGTGACTAATCAATAATTAAAGTTGGTCAAACCTTGTACAACAGGGTTGACACTTGAAGGTTTTCGTACGCCTCAAGGTAAATTTACGTATTTATTTGTGAGGGCGCGCTCGCCTGGCGGCGTTTGCCCGACTTAATGACGTCAATTTGAATACGACCGACTTGTCGGATTCTCGCCTCTTCACGGTAATGTAAATTTCCCTCTTGCGCTAACCCTGAATAGGGTAGTTTCCTGGTGTTATTTGACACCTGAAATGGGCTGTCAATCAGCTGCGATTGTATCAGCGCCGTTTGAATGGGAAATTCAGCGATTAGGAAACGTTAGTGTTAATAATTTATGTGTTTTGCTGTAACCAGAACTATTGTGCTAAATTACTTTATGTCGGTTACGAGTGAGCAGTGAGCATTGTTTGCATTATTTATCTAACTTGACATTATAAAGAGGAAGCATAATTTTTTTTATTTGTAATGAATTAATTAAAACAATTTTGATATCGATATCGTTTGTATTTCACGTGTAGTGCCGCGAATTACACCGCAATTAGTTTAAAAGTAATTCCTTAATTAATTTCTTAGTCTTCTGCAACTTAATTTCAATACTTATTAATAATTGAAGTATAGTATAGTACAGAATTTCAAAATAAATAGATAATTAATTATTAGTTATGGTATATTTCTAAAATCATCATTTTAAATGGAATAAATTTATTGTACAAACTTATCTTTCAATTTATGCTAAATAATAGTTAGCTCACCACATTCATCAATCATCTTGTTTGCCAGTCTAAGGTGTAAAAAATATATAAATGCAATTCGGTATTTATAAGTAATAATAAATTGCCGTAAATAAAAACTATAATAGACACCGCTACTGGTTCTGTATATGCCGTATAAAATCACAGGTAGTTAATTGTATCAAACCTATCTAAAAGCAACGTGAGTATTCATTGAACGTGAATTACCTACCGTTTTCCATTTGCCGTCTATTTATTTCTTTTTCTTGCTATATATCTAAGAATAGGAAATCGCAAAGGAATTTCCACCAATTTTTCTTTTCTCAGACATTAGATATAGTCGATTCGCTATAAATCTACAAACTGAGATAACCAAGGCTACAACCGGTGTTAAAGGAATATTTATTGGTAAATATTTACTGAATATCTTAAAAGATTATTTAATATTTAGATATTAATTTAAACTGTAATTAAATAAACTTTAACAACAACTCAATCGCTATTTAATTAAATGGATTTCAAGAGTAATTTGACTGTAAACAAACAGTATTTAATTTCCTGTTTTAAAATTACATTTTAGTTAAGAATACCTAAATAGAAACAGCCATGGTATAGCGGTTTGGTACACAGCTTTACTTTCGATGGGTACGAGTTCGATTCTTGGCGCGATAATATTATATAATATGTACCTATATTATATTTTATATACAAATTATGAGTATGATTGTCCGTATTGGTATAGGTGTTTGCTAAGTACATTACGGATGCAAAATTAGAAAAGTATTTAAGTAATTTTATTAGTTGTTTAGCAACCACAGCACAAGCTCTTGAGTCTAGGTGGTGATGTGAGTTGCCTATTAATAATTATTATATACCTAGGCAAAAATGATGTATGTAGTTATAATTTAATACATCTTGTTGTTTCCTCTACTATCATTATCTTTGAATACATGTACAATGCTACTACGCCTGTGTTAGCTGTATACGCTGGCGGGACATTAATTGAGGATCATAGGATGAGTACGAAGTCAGGTCAACTGGTCCATCCTGACAAAACTGGACCGGTCAGGTTGGAACAGTTGACCAGACTTATTTAATTTAAATGGAGGTTGACTTATACTTTTAATTTATCAATTTGCATTGACAAATTGATAAATTAAATGTATAAGTTATTGCGTTGTTCAACTCAATTTCTATTAACATGACGCTAAAAAACTTAATAATCTTAATCGCAGCTTATATTTTTTGTATATTAATTATATTAATACTAATTCTATTGTTGCAGTGGACACAACAGCTCAATATGACGCAGTTCGAGCTTACCTCAAGGAATTGGATATATCTAGCGCTGTGTGGGTCGGTCTCATCCGAAGTAATCCCGACGGAGACTTTACGTGGACGTAAGTACAAACTGTTTAATTCATGAGCTTACTCGGGTATCTCAATGTACATATAGACAACAACCCTAATATGTACATTTGTATCACCGATAATCGTTACTATTTACATGTTGATAAAGGATTTTGTTTGAGTCGAATGCCTTTTTAGGTTCAATTATATTGTCTTTTCATAATTAATACTATGAAATTACAATACATATATTTGAATCTACAAGGAATGAATAATGATTTAAAAATTATCGGTCTCGGTGGTCTAGCTGTTAAGCAAGTCTAGCACACCGCATTACTTCCGATAGTCGCGGATTCGATTCCTCGCACGGTACAAACATTTGTATTCATGAGTATAATTGTTTGTTTCGATCATGATATTTCTATGTATATTATGTATATACATAAAAAATATCTAAGTATTTCTACCTATTTCTAGTACCCATAACACACGCTCTGCTTACCGTGGTACTAGATGGTGCTGTGTTAATTGTCCAGGATTATTTATTTATCTATCCTGTGTAAACAAAGAAATAAATTGTAACAGTCTAATTTCTGTAAGTTATAGATATTGAAAACCGTTAATACTTCAAAAAGTACCGTTTTTAGTATCTCTGTCTGTTTGAATGTACCCAATAATAAAATTTATTTTCACAATAATTAATAGTACGATTAAAAACACCGCTTTTAAAAATACTACGGTAAAGGATTAAACTTACATCATGTAGGGTAATTAACGCGTTACCTTTACATATGTACTAGCGTGTTCTAACATATTATAAATTTATAACAGTGACTATCGAGGCTTAAGTGGTGATGGATACTGGAGTTCAGCGCCAGATGCGAGGGCCGCCCCGCTGTGTGCCGCTGCTGACCCCGCGGCTGACTACCGCTGGGAAGCAAGAGCTTGTGGTGGACCCACTGTAGCGTCCTTCATCTGCGAATTGCCTGGTAAAACATCATATAACAATTTTTCATAAGCATTTAGCTACGTCTACTGTCTGTCACGAAATTGATAATTACACTAATATAATGTTCTGAAATAAATTGTATTGTATGTATATCGACGATATAAATTATATAATAAGAGAATGTAATATTTTTCAAGTCATAAAATTTGCTATAATGCTATCGATTTGCTTCGTTGGAGTTAAATATAATTCAAATGTATGTGTACTATTCTAAATCCTTTTGACATCATCATCATGCTAAGTTCTTACACTGTAGTATATAGAAAACTCAGTACCAATGACGCAAAATATTTCAAAAATAAAAGTGACAGAATACATCTTCAGTGGTAGACTTTGTAAAAAGTCGTCTGTTCTGGCTTGTTTTATAAACTGTGATTTAGTTTAAGGGTGATATCAGGCCGTGAAATTACAGGATAAGAGATATGACATTGTAGTCCTTCGGAATGGCAATGCATGAGCGATATTTAGGGTAAAGTAATATTCCATTATGCTATTCATGGCTTCGTAAGTGATGGTGACCATTAACCACCGCGTGGACCGTCAGCTTCTTTGCCATTCAAACTGCATAAAATATGTAATTTAAATATAATTGTAATAGAAAAGTAAAGTTCGTAAATATTATTGTCCACAGTACCACAATGGGCACTCGGAAATGAAGGCTGCATGGTTCGTGCCCTGCCAGCACTCACTATTTTATATTTACCTGAAAGTGCATCTGTTCAGCTCACCGCAGACTGTGGTATGGCTGGCGTAAAACGAGTTCAGTGTACAGGAAATGTGGTATGTGAAATATTTATGTTTCATTTACAAACATGATTTTCATTTACGAATATGATTTTCATTGACGACATATTTTATTTTCCACTTTTTTTACAGAAACGCGAAGACTTGTTGAAAGATCTATCATGCGCTGTGGAAGAAGAACAAACAAGCACTTCCAATGTAATAACTACAAGTATTACCTGGCCCATGACTTCTGATGCATCATCTACAGATCAAGAATCAATTACAGAAGTAACAACTGAAGAAACCATCACTACTGAACATGAAGATGATATAAATCAAGTGAACATTATTAAATCATCGCCAATACCCTACAATAAAAATTTACAGATTACCAGTAAAATTGTACCAAAGCCAAGTATTAGTAAAGTAAACAATGTCGTCCTTAGTAAAATTATGAATTTTGATGGTACACAAAATAATAACTTACAAAGTAACGAGATCCCAAATCTTGTTTCACATGAAAATTATTTAAGTAATGATGAAAATGAAAAAATGGAAGACGAAAAAAATAAACAGCATAAAATGTTACATGAAGAAATTGCTCGTATTGGTAACTTTGAAACAATATTTACTCAGCCCACTGATCATTTTGTACCTCCATTAGTAATGGCAAAATCTAAGATAAGTGATGACATGACTGTGTTATCTTTAGAAGAAAAACATGCTCAACAACTTGCAGAACAGACATTTGGAAAGTACAGAACTCAATCTGATGACATTAATCGCTCACAAATTGATTCTAGTAACAGTAAAAGTACAACAGAGTATTCTAGTAAATTAACAGTTACAGATATACCATTAATTACAATCACCAATCCTCTGAAATTAAAGGATACTCTTAAAAAAGATAAACCTAAATATAGCGTGCCTAAAAAGTATATTGACAAACAGTATGACTTAAAAAGTAAATCTCACAAAATAACAGATATTAAACAATACAAAACAGAAAAGACAACGGAAATAGCTATTACTCAAACACAAAGTACAATCCCAGATATGGAAACAACCAAAGTTTCGTACTACGATAACAAACAAAATAAAACTGATGAAGATCCCACTATAGATCTCACAGTTATAATTAAAGATTTTGAAGATACTAAAAGTTATGAAGGAGACGTACCGAAAATTGAAGTAATAGAAAATGATACGTCTATAACAAATCCTGAGGTAAAATTTAATACAAATAACAGTACAGGCGAGAAGAAACAAGAATTATCTGTGAAAATACCTGCATTTACACAAAACTCCACATTCACTCACGAAATTATTAAAATAACTATCATTAATGAAGAAAATTCAAGTGCAATTCCAACAATTTTTGAAGTAAGTACCAAAATGCCAGACTTTAAAACCGACTACGAAAACAAATCATCAACCTCAGCCAATCAATTAGTTACATTAAATATTGAACATAACGATGCAATTAATGAAACACTAAATAATCATTCCTATGTTAACATCTCAAATATACAGGAAAGTACAGTAACTTCACCAACAGGTGAATCTGTGACATTTTCCACTACAAAGGAGAAAACTGATGTAAAGGAATATGTAACACCTACTACGAATGAGATAAAAACTTCAACTGAATTTAAAGCTACTTCAACAGCATCACAAACAAATATGAATGAAAGTAATAGTACTGTAGAAGATACCACCAAAACGAGTATTTTTGAAACCACAACAAAAGATGCGGACATTGAAATTACAGAAACTTTAGCATCTGAATATAACTCTACAGATTTATCCGAACCTATAGACGATTTGAATTCACCCTTACTTTCTGCCGCGAATGAACCACTACATCGACCAAACAGATCAAGAAGACCACTGCAACCGCCAAATCGTATAAATAAATTTAACCCATTTCGTATCTTAGGTTAATTCTCGCACTTTGAATATAAATTCGACTGCCATTTACGAAATTCAACTTTGAGGACTGAAAATTCAAAAACACTATATTGCCTCTTTACATTTTTGATTTTATTCATAATAATAAGTACTAGTTCATTTTACTATAATATTGAGATTTATGTATATGTGCTTATCTTCCATTGCAATGTGAAACCTAAATGTCAATATTTAATTTGCTTATTTATTGTTATAACTAACAAGGCATGATGAACTTGAAATCAAGAATAGTAGTTGTAGAATCAATCATACTCGTAGGTACTTGCACAAGGCAATTAGTGGAATTCTGATTTGTTTTATGCAATCACAATATAGAAATTATATTATAGAACTATATTATCTGTTGTGAACACCGGAACAGTTATCTTATACATGCACAAATTAATTAGTTCATTACTAAAAAATGTAGCTAGACATTGATTTTAATTAATATGAATTTAATAAGCTTGTTTTAAACATTTTTTAGTAATTAGGATTAACAGAACTAGTCAGAAGTAACTTAGTCAATTCATATATTCGGATTATAATATAGCTTAGCTATATCTTAATGTTTTACTTTAGATCTATTTAAAATTAAGTTGTATCTGATAATAAGTAAACAGACTTTCATATGTTTGCCAAATCCAATCTTCGAGTACTATAGATTAATTTTAGATACTTGCCATCTATAAATATTATCACCTGAAATTACTTGGTAATAAGTAGTATACATATGGTACACATAAAATAGTTCATAATCAAAGCAAATTCGTAGTAGTTAATGAATCACGAACCATATCATGTTAGAATTAAGGATTTTAGTCTTATAAACATTATTTTTATTGGATGTAAAATTTTGGAAGCTATGTTCAACGAGCTGAAGTGAAAACAATGACGATAAAGCTTGACTATATTGAAAAGGCGTTGCTTTGGAGGTATGTAGTCGATATATTGTTTTTTATGTTTGTCATTAATATAGAAAATATGGATTGTAAGACTTTTTAAATAAAATTTAAAACTGAATCGTGTGTTTTTTATTTGAGTGGGAGCCAACCTGCGGCGAAAATATACATTTATCATACATTTCATCGCCCCCGTTCAATATGTCAATAAGTTATTGAATTAAAGGAAAGCCGATAAGTTGCTTGAAATGAATTACGGAAAATAAAATTACATAGGAATGACTGGGAATAAAGATGAAAAACATTTATCGTCTTTTCCTGTAGACTGTTATGTAGGCACATAATTACTAGTAATTATGTTATCTGTGTTAGTACCATTGTAGTTTTGTTTAAGTTATTAAGTTAGTTCCTGACAATTTTCCAACTATTTTAGAGCGTTATGATGTAGAGCTGTATATCACGCCTTTATGCACATTATTTTGTTTAATTATTAGTATATAAAATTATTTATTATTTTCTTTTGTATGTGGTTATTTCAAGAATATGGTTTATCTAGTAAAAAATCTTTTGTCCAGTAGTTTCATTATAATTTAGTATTTTCATTATTTTTCACAATAATCATGTACTTTCAGAGTTTCCACGTTCTTTTTGCCGTCAAAGGGATTATTTTTTAAAATTCACTGTGTGGACGCGGATTACAAAAACCCTTATGGCAGTCTTCTGTATGCCAGTATATTTTACTGCTTATAATAGTCTCTGAGCCAGGACTATCTATACTAATATTAAAAAGAGGAAAAGATTGAATTTGGATGTTCGGGGTAATCTCCGGTTAGATTAATCCGATTATAAAAAATATTTAAATGTTTTAAAGGCCATTTATAGTCCAATAGGAGCGAAGTTATCATGAAACTTGTTGACGAAGAATGACGCTGACATAGTTTCATCAAAGTTTCCCATTTTACTCTACTACTACTACTAAAAAAGGCATGTCGTACTTTACTAGCTAGGATCAACTAGTAAAATATGAACATGATTTATAATTATAGATGTGGGTAGTAAACTGGGGCACTTATATTATTGTTATTTTCATTTGATACTATCCATTTTACGCTTTTCCGGATAAGATTTTCTCAGTGCCTTCTTGCATTACATATAATAAAGAACTCCGGTGAAAATACCGTGTTACTAAACTCACTTTTGGATTTCTTGATAAGTCAGCGAGTCAGCCAGTTTTTTCTTCTTATATATAAAGAAGATAAGATAAAGTAACAGAGATAAAATGTAGAGGAAAATTCGCAAGTTTCGAGCCACTTAGCTACATTCAATATTTGCGACACACTTCGCTGTCACCTCGCTCAACTTGTCCGCGAACCGCTGATTGGAACTTAATTTAGGTACTTCTCGAGAACGCTTATCAATATTACTTATATCAACTTCCAGAAATTTCCAAGTTTGGACATAATCCACCGCGCATTTTCGTTCATCAACAGAAAGTTACTTGCAAACCTTACTTCTTACACTTTATTGGTTATAACTTCTATTTATATATCTAGTACATAAGGTATACATATATAATATTATCCTATCTGTGGTATAAGTTTAGTTATACTTGTATTTTCGCCTATATTCTAAAGCAAACTAAGATATTTTTGTGGAATTCGAGTTTGTACAAAGTTGACAGTGTTAGTAACTCTGAATCGTCTATTGTTACCGCAGATTACTGCAGTAAACCGTACTGTGGTAGAGTGTTCCAAAGCACAAAATCATTATATTCTAGTTCTTAGGAATGCAAATTGGCGAGATCGTATTTCACAACCTGATATCTATGACGTTCTTGTATATGGGCTCAATTAATCTTATATAATCGTTGCCACAACTGTTATTTTTTTAATTTAAATATTTATCTTGTACTTATTTATCTGAACGATATATTGATTTAACTTGAACGAAATAGAATTAAGGTTACTTAGAAAAAAATACAGTTCATAATACGTTACAGTCAGAAAGTTCTAATTTACGGAATTAAAATTAAAATATATTCTAATTTCTGCGCCTAACCACAGATAACATAATATTACATAGCCTAAATAAATTAGTTTTTTAATAACATTAAATATAGCATTCATAAATTCTGTCAATTACTTTGTAGTTTTGAATAGCAAAAGACTGAATTAGATTCACAAAAAAACTAAATCTAGTGGTACTTTCAATCTAAAAAATTCTTAGAGCGTATTGTAGAACGAATGGTCTCTAATAGGATTCAGCATTACAGCGACGCTTTCGTTTTCCGTTGTTCATAGATCCTAATGGTTCATGAATTGAGACTTATGACCTTTATTAAGAGCGAGGTACATGAAAAGCGTATCAAAAGTAATGGTAGACGAACACGCTTTCCAGAAAAAGCTCATACCTGCAAGGAAATAAACGTAACAAAAATATGTTGTAACATAACTCCACTTCTTTATTTTTGGAATGTTGATAATGCATTTCAGTAATAATTTTACTTTGACCCGATTATAAAGTTTTGTACTTACTATTTATTACGAATAAAATAATAATACAGTAATCTTATTCTCATGATAGAGAAATGTATTTATGTTTTAGAAGCGAATGTTCGCTTAAAATATCTACCAAATCTCTTCATTTATTGCATCTACCAATCGTATGTGGACGTGCGTCATCTACACATTTTCAAGTGACTGTTATCTTAACTCGAAAAAAATATTAATTAAATACAGCTGAAGAGTATATATATGTATATAATCCACATCATTAGGGATAAAAAAACCAATAGAGGAAAGGCTTCCTTGTTGTTACATCTTTCCGTGTTGCTACTATACATTTCACACATAGAAATAATATTAAATATTCATAGGTTTCTCATGTATTATGTTCCGAACATACATAGTCGAGATTATATATAGGTACTTATTCCTCCTACAACACGTCCAGCATATAATTTTGCTTCTATTTCCCTTAGAAGGGAACGTACATATTTTAATATAAATTGACCATACTTCATCAAGCAGAGCTCTTTTCTAAAATAGATTCTTTGACAAATTACAACACAATTCTAAGCATTTTAAGAAATAATGGGTCCAAACATAATTTGGCAATAATATCGTCTTGTCGGTCTGCTGTCATAAAAAGTAACAATAATAGGATGAGGAAATGGCGGACAACGTTAATTTCCTATAAGAGTGGAGCAATTTACACGCAACGATGGATTAACGACGCATAAGCTATAATAAACTATATAGACAAAATAAACATAAGGCAAGAATGTTTTATATACAAAACTACACAAAAGTACGCAACAATTTTTTGTAGGTAAAATTGTTTTCAATTTTGTTTTGAAATTGTTGTTGCCGAAAATAAAGTGTTTTAAATCAATTACTAACCAAAATAATTTCACATCCAATTTTAAAAGTTGTACTTAATTAGGCATTAAATTCAATTAAATAACAATAGGAATGTTCAAACTTGTACAAAGTGCGATGTCTTCGATCATAAACTATAGTAGACTGACTTTATTAGAGTCGAATTGAGGTTCACGATAAATCTCGTACGGTAGACGCTCCCAGCGGGATTGAAGTTGGTTTTGTAGCTACTATGTTGTTGAAATACCTGGTGATTTGAATATATTCCTCATGTTTTAACAGATTTTCCTATCACTGTACTACTTCATACAATTAAGTAGCTGACTCGCGCAACTTCGTCTTCATCACACTTACTTGACTTTTAATGGTAATTAGAGACATTAGTGATCAGTGATTACGTAGTTGCAAACTGTGTAATGATTATTAATTAATTATATACTGTAATTAAATAAAATAAATATAGTATTCAATATTAATTGAAAGAATAACTTTCAGTGTGTATTCTTAATCGTATTTAGAACATCAGTTTTTAGATCGAATATATAAATACACCACTTAGATTTAAAAAGTTAAAGTTTCCATGTACAATTTATTTAATAAGTAAGTATTGAATTTTTGCTCAGATAGCGTAACAGTTGTAATTGTTGGTTCAAAGCTTACCATTTCTTGGATATTTTCAATATTTTTTCTTCATTACTATCTGAAAAACTACGACTTGACATATTTTATGTCCTTGAGATATAGTATTTCTTACTTAATATGATATAACAGTAGTGTAACACCCCGTCAGGGCTAGCCACTTGATTACCAAAATATAGAGTGGAGGTCACATGCTACTGTGGCGTATTCATCCATTATTCAGAGTTATCGGTCGGCCGAGCGTCCAACTCAATTCCTATTAATGGAGATTAAGTGTTTATTGGCATTTCCTTGTGCCGACTTCTGAAGTCGTGAACAATATTGTTAACGAGAGTCAGTATTTGTATACAATCAACAATGTCACATGATTCGGATCTAAAATTTGCTTCAGCATAACAGAAAATCTTTCTCAATGTTTAATATAACTTTTTTATAGTAGTGTTATTGTTTTATATAAGAAAAACTATTGAATAGATATGTAATACAAGTAAATAAATACTATTAAATCCAAATTCTAAGAAATATACCTACTA